TCCCACATGTGATGCAATTTGTATTTTATACATACACACATATTCTGTGTTAACTATTAAATGGCCATCACATTTCCTCTGCCCACCTCTGCTAAGGCTCTGGGTAAGCTCATGCCCCTCACACCATTCTCATTTCACTGCTGGCCTCAGAACTCTGCAAAACAGGGAAAACAAGCAAGGTCTGGATACCACTGCAATGCAAATGTCAGTCTGGAGATCCAGTCTACCGAAGAACTTTTCTGAGCTCTGCAGCAGATCTTCATTGTAGTGTTTCTGACCTGCACACACAACAAGAGCTAAAAGGGCTATTCTTTTAAAAGTGAGTACAAGAGTCTGTGGAAATCTGAGACTGCTAGCCACACACCTCACAAATAAAGTTTCCTACTGGCTAGTGACCCAAAAGAAAGCAATACTGCAGCTCAGGAAATGGAAACTTGCACTGTAAATCAGCAGATGTTAAGAGCTTCAGTGGTTATGATAGACCGTCATTTCACTCCTGCCTGCTCTTAAAACCAGTTCCTAGATTACTCCATTCTGGTCCTCCTAAAAGGAGGGAAGACCAACTGGCTCTGTAGGCTTTCCAGCCTTTCCTTCCCAGTTCGGGCAAGTGGAAAGTATTCAATTTTTTTACCTTGCTCTTCCTTGCTCTCCATTTACACTAGAATGTAAAAAACAGCTCTGGGACACCATACCCCAGTTTTACTGCTGCTGTTAGGGTTGGGAGCAGAGGTAACTGACCAGTTCCACACAGACTTTGGTATTATCCAAGGACATTCACAATTTGCTCACTCTGTGACAGTGCTGTAAAGGGTCTTCCCCATAGGACACCAAGGCTTCATTTTTGCCTTCAAGACCAAAGAATGACCAAGCTTGGAAGGCTAAAGAGCCAACCCACTTGAGCAAAATTAACTTAAAAAGGACATGGGATTTTAGAATGATAGGTACAGAACATAGGAAGAAGCATTGCTGCAGAACACCTTTAATAATACAGAATTACCACATTCTGTACCTGCATTTTTTCAACCCATTTTTCAAAAGGTGGTGACACTGCATGCGACCCATACATTCCCTGGTTTTGTTTCATGGCCCACGCTAGCTAATACTGCCCATCACTTTTCAATCTTTCTGTACAAATGCCACTACTGGTATCAGTGATTAATACACTGAACTGCAATGCGTTAACTGCTGTTAAAAAAGAAAACAGCATGCACATCCTGTTTTTCTCTAGACCTCAATACATATCAAACCAAGAAAAGCTGAGGTTTAGGCTCTTCTGTAGAAGGAAGATAAAAATAAGATTTAAGCTTTAGGCAATTCACAGAGCAAACAGTAAGTACGAGTAGTTTTATTTTTATTTCCCTTGAAGGGTGTGAATAAGTACACAAGCAACCATATCTAAAAGAGAAAAGGTAGAAGAAACTGGATTAAAGGGAAAGTTCAGGGGCATATTTACTCTGTTAAAAAGCTTTTGGTATTTTGAGTAAACAGATAATAGAAAATAGAGATTCTGAAAAAGGAAAAAATTATGTACATTCAGTTACCCCGTAAATTAGTTACTCACTATTATCCTACAGCTTGTCTATAAGGTTAGAGAAATTCATGAATAAATTATTCAAATGAACAACAAATTACACGTCATAAGCTTGAAAAACTGAACCCCTCCTCAGCATTCAGTGCACACTTCAACTGATTTAGTTGAAATAGTGCAAACATCTGTAGGGAAAGCTGTCTGTAAAAAAGGTATTTCAAAAAGTCTTGAGACGATTCCTAAAATGCATTTAACTAGGGAGCCAAGGCAGAGCACCTCACATCATGCATGAAGCAAAACTAAGATCCTGTGCTACAGCTCAAGCTATACTGTGGAGGAACAAAAAAACAAACAAACAAACAAAAAACAAACAAAAAACAAACAAAAAAAACAACCCAAGAGCCTTTCCTCAAAAGCCTTTTCAAGTCAATGGTGTAGACAACCTAATGGAGACTCATAGTTGTCTCACAAGTTTTGTCTTCAAATGATCCACCTGATTGCATCCTCTTCCAGGTTAGTGTGCTTGATTCAACACCAGGAGCACATGAAGCAACATGCAAGAAGAAATACACAAATCAGCCAAAGCAGGTTTATGTTAACCTTTCCAAACGTTTTCTTTTTCTTGGGAATACAAATCAAACTTTTACAAAGAGACACTAATCACAGCACGCTCAGAAACCAACAAAGAGAACCAGCCCGAGATTAAAGTGCTAATGGCACAAATAAGCTATCATATCAGCTTCTATCCAAAAATGTACACCTAAGAAGAAAGCAATCATCGAAAATCTTCTAAAGCTGCCTTTGCTTGTAAGCTATCAAAGTCTTGAGGAGGTGGTGAAGGAGAAGCATCTCAAGCACTTCCCGCTGTGAAGATCTGTCACCACATCAACCGCCCGTATTTCCCTCTTCAGTCAGGCAACTCCCCTGTGTAATTGCTAAAGCCATTATTTAACAGCACCCACAATACACATCAACACAATGTTCTGTCCAACACCTTTCTCTAGCCAAAGCACTTCAACTCACCTATTTTCTCACCTATTTGTAACTTAGGTACTCGTGATCTGTCACCTTTCAGGTTTTAGTGTCTCAACAAACACTCTGAAGCTGCTCCCATGGGCACATCCCTAACCGGCAACTGCTTCCAGAGAAAACTATTCCTCCTATCTTTGAACAGGCAGGGATAAGGACACTGGGCAACTCATGAGCCTCAGGGGATGATTCATAAATCCCACAAGCGTAAGTCTGCTAAAGCCAATATGACCTTCAGGGAGACCTGAGACTTAGCCACCTTTAATTTTGCTGCCTTAATAACAGCTACAAGCCTGAAGTTTAACTTAATGGACTGCTTCAATTCAGCAGAGACAGATGAGCTAAAGGAGCAGGTACTACATCAGATTGGGGAAGAAAGGGAAGCAGATTTATTTAAGTGAAATAAAAACCAGAGCTACAGCTGGTCAAGTCTTACCTGTTAGAGTTGTTTTAGTTTCAGAAATATCACTCCTAAGACCTAGTCAGACAAGACTATTGCATGTTGATAGGTAGGAAACTGTTCCATGCACACTTCATTTTCCTTCAACACCTCTCTGAATTTACTTCTTTCAGTTTAGGAGTGACCAGTCTAATACTACGGTACTCTCCAAAAGAAATGTTTTATGTATACCTTTTACACCTGTAATATTCTCCTATTTTTTTTATTTATAACATTTTCACACAGTTCAGCTGAATTACCAGGTTAGAACAAGTGATCTTATCCCATCACAAAGTTTATTCTTTTCTTAACAGTTCTGCAATCACATTATGTGAGAATAGTTCAGCAAAACATGGGTGAAAAGAGAGACAAAAATTGAAGAAAACAGGATAGAAAGTTTGAGCTGGGTAACAACACAACAGGCACAAATCTCAGTAGATCAGCTGTTCATCTCCCTGGAAATTTTAATTTGAGAAAGGACAGCAAGACTGAGCTCACCGCTTGCCCTAACTAAAACAGAAACACCACCCGCTGCCAAGTAATAA